AGCGTTATGCAGGACTATTTTAACAACGGACCTTATTATCCACCCTGGCCTTATCCATGGTTTAATGCCACTAATACGGGGTTCCGTGGGTTCCCAGAGTATTATGGGACAGTAGAATATCGTCACCTAGCCCCAATTACACCAGCAACAGCTCCTCGACCCTTACTATCTCAATATTCAAGTTTACCACCGACACCCGAATCAATGAATTTATGTAGTTTGTCTTCTCAAATCACGCCAACTATGGGTCAACATGAATGGCTTATTGGCATGGGACAGGGTCAGTTTACTGACACAGGGCAGATGCAAAGCACCCTACAAATCACCGGTACTGGTACGGGACAGAGTCAAAACACCCCGCAAATTACTGGTACGGAACAAATTAACTCTCTAGTATATCACCGTGACGCCAAAATGGAAACATCCATAGCAAATCACCCTGATGTAACTTCGCGAGGCATGGGACTACCCACTGGGACAGGGACGATCGAGCAGGCAAACATCGGGACATTCAACGCCGCAAACAATGTGCATGCACTTTTGGAGGCGGCCGCAACAAAATCAGTCAACAAACAACAAACAGTAAATTCGAAAATCAGATTTATATTTTGAGTTTCTATAATGAGCTTGCAGTATGTGCTTTATTTGTTTCTCGTTGGTTTTATCGTTTAGCGCCTACCATATTGACTGAACTGAACTAAACTACATCATATGTAATGTTACCGTCATTATGCTATACTCTTGGTGAAAATAAAAAAACTTGTTCATAATACACTTTATTGTACTATGTGTGCTGGATAACCACTAATATGTGTATTTTTATGGCGGAGATCCATGTTTTTCATGGTTCTCGATGGCTTCGCTTCAGTGCTAAAGTTTAACGCAAGCCATATTTATATGACGTGTATTTCAGGATCGAAATACTACCAACTAGACGTTGCATGTGAACCGAACAAAAACTAATTCATGACATGTAATAATTTGTTTTGTCATTTATTCAGGATTTAATAATATTTTGAGCGCGCCCAAGCAACTTTCTAAATTTCAATGACATTTCACATTTTGTTGACCAAGCAGATGAAGTGTCGCGTGTCGCTGCTTCTTTTTCAACTCGGTCAGGTCACGGTGCTGTTGTTGCCGTTAAAGATCCATTTTGCTTAAATATTACTTATCTGAGTGAGCATACTTTCATGGCCACTAAAATTATATATACATATCTAGCCGAAGAACAACAAAAAATACGAATTGTGCAAAAACTGGGTGATATCATGATTGAATAAGCCACACAAACAGTAAAACACACTTTAATTTTAAAAGATTGATCATTATTTGAAACTCCAGGGAAACGAATTGTTATGAAAACAAAATAATCAACAATGATCTAACCTCAAACTAAGTAAAGAATTTAAATAATTTCAACGGTTTTATCTCTCCATCCAGTGTTTCTATTGGTCAACCCTAACCCTGTAACAATTAATTTTAGTGGCAGACCTACCCCATACGCAACTTGTATAAAAAAATAATCAACAAAATTTTTGAAGAAAAAACATGTTTATTTATCAATTTACACTTTCCAGTAAGTTTTGTGGTAAAGCTCCACCAGCAAAATTTAGTATGTTTTTTAATGTTATCTAGTCTATGGCAATTCCACAAAAACGAAAGAAATTGCGCGACATCAAGGGCGTTATTGATGCAAGTCCGTCAATAATAGCAGTCTCG